CTTGTAATGCAATGTCTCAGTTTTGACTGACTGGAAGTAAGGTTTTTAATGTCTTCTATTGATTATCAAGATGCAGACATATATTGGTAAAAAAATTTAAGATTTAAGGAGGTTTTATAAAAGTTCTTGAGCAGACAAGTGCTACTGATCAGATTGTAGAAGGGTGTCTTTCCACTTGCATTTTAATTTTTGCCTTGAAAATTATATGGGGAAATGAGGAGAGGGAAGGAGAATGCATTTTCGATAGGGATTCAAAAGACAAAAAGTTCAAGATCTTTAAACATAAAGAAAATTACTCATTTTTTTATTGTGAGTGCACTGATTAACGGAAAAATCTATTAAAAAATAAACAAGCAATTAGGAGATTTACTTCAGGCATGCCAATGTCTTCCTTTACTGCTATTAAAATATTCTTACCTCTTAACCGTAAAGTGAGTGTAGATGGACTGCAAATTTTCAGTGTGGCATTTACTCTCATCTAACTTGGAACAGTGAGGGAAGAGTGCAGTTTTCACTATGGTGCCTAAGAAGGCATTCAGGTTATTGAAAGTAATTGAAATGGCATATCAGATAAAAACAAAACAAAGCTAAACAAAACCAAAATCCCAGCTTTTTTAGATATAAAAGAGGAAAATCATGATTTGGCAATGAGGAGGTGTAAAGGGGTAACATACAACTCTTCTATGATTCAGTATATCGGAAAAACACAGGAACAGAATGTTCAGTTCAGAAAAAGAACAAATATTTTTGTGTTGTTCATCTCTGTTCCTGTTTGTTGACTTTTCTCTCACAGTTCAGTCTGGACTATCAGCTCTCATTGATACCACTTCTGGCTCATTTCCCTGTTAGATGATGGCCATAGTTTTAGTGCTCCTTATCTTTTAGGCTCCCCAGGGAAGTGGTCACAGCACTAAGCCTAACAGAGTTCAAGAAGTGTTGGATGATACTCTCAGGCACATGATGTGACTCTTGACGATAGTCCTCTGCAGGGCTAAGAGTTGGACTCAGTGATCCTAGTGGGTTCCTTCCAACTCAGCAGATCTGTCACTCTGTGTGATTCCATGGTTCTTTATCACTGTTAAACAAAACCGCTATCCTTGCTGTCACTCAGGTATTAGCCATTTCTGCTCTCTGTGCCTTATCCTGTAAGCAATATCCAAATACTGCTACTTCTTCCTTACAAGTTTGGGTACCTTCTTTTGCTTTCCACATAGCTATGTGTTTCCTCCCATCCTACACTGATCAATGCACTTTGCTTTTCTTTTATGACTGACATATCAGCTTTTCTCCACCTCACTATTACCACAGTTCTTGCAAAGGTCAGATTTGTTAATATTTTTTTCTCATTTTTCATTCTAAATCTTTCCAATGCACCCAATTCAA